AATATAAATTGTATTGTTGTTCAGATATATTAAAATAAATAATGTATTTTATAAATTTAGAATGAATTTATGGTCATTCTTTATTTAAAATAAAATATTTCTTTTATAATGTCACAGCTTAAATTTATTTGAAGAAAAAAAATTGTGAATTATTGTGCACTAAATTGAGTTACTGGACTAAATCGAACTAGAAAGAAAATAAACTAATCTTGAACCACGTGTATAAAATGCGTGAAATGGGCCTTTAATTAGTCTCACATCAACGGATTAAACAATAGTCACAGGAATAAACTGGCCCCCCACCCCCACCGAGCCATCCATCGCAGTTAGTTAACTAGTTGTCACCGAAATCTCGTTTCAGTAAATCGTAAACAATGGGGTTCATGGATCCATTTGCTAATCCAGGCCCCGTCCTCTCCACACGACCGTTGCCCTTCAACAAATTCCCCAGTCCCTCCCTTAATCTACCGTTACCCCTTTGCAGTGAAGCTCCATTGCTTACTTACTTCCAAGCTGCTTTAGGCTTCTAGTTGTCTCAGTTTTGGTTTTTATTCTAATCCTCCCCTCGCCCTACTGCTTGTCCAGACTGGGTTGTATTTGAGTCCTCCTAGATCGCGCCTGCTCTGCGTGTTTGTGGTCCGGGAGTTCTGCTTCCAGTTTCGTTTCTGGGAAGGATGTTCTCGTTTGTGCTTTTGGGGTCCTGTCGGTGATGTTGCCGTGGCTTTACTATACGTGGGTTCCTGCGTTCGGGGTCGAAAGAGAGTGCGGACAGGTGCCCGAGTTTGAGATGCATGAGTTTAGCCAAGGATAGGTAAGTCCTGACGTTTTCCTTGCTCAGGTGGTTGTCTTCTGTAATTTGGGTTGGTCCCCATCTGCGTTTCTTTGGATACGGTCGATTCTTGTTGATAGAGTGCTGCCAGTTAGCTTACCTTTGAGAGGGCTGTCTTGGTTTCTTTTGAAATCTGCGGTGATGACGATAGTCATAGTCCAGCACGTGACTCAGGCGGCTTCCGAAGGATTGAATGCCAAGTTCTCCGATCTGTGCGATCCTCACGATCTCTTTAATGTCCGCACTTCGAAGAGAGGTATCTTGAAACTCTCAGCCAAGTCCAGAGGTTCAAGTACGGCAATGCGACATCTGCGCAAACAAGAGAGAAGGTTGTCTGCGTCCTCCTCTGCTGATGGTGACGCTTTGCTGATGGAGTTTGTGCCGCTCTCGAAAACGCCTGATCTGTCCAATGGCCGCCATAGTCTCAGTATCTTCAGGATGGGGAGTCCATCTCCGGCCTTACATTCCCCTTGCAGTACTCCACGGAAGAAGAGCCGTGGTGTCACGAAGAAGCTTCTTAGATTATGCAATATGAGCTCCAGTGGTAACAAGTATTTACAACTACCAGTCTACTAAGTTGAATCAAACTCAATTGGAATTTACCGTTGTAATTTCTACGGATCGTGACTGACCTTGGCTTTGGGTAGAACTTGGTAGCAAGAAGCCGCGGGTTAGCTCCCTTCATTCTGAGAGCAGAATGCGGATGGACCATATCCTAGCAGCACACCTGAAGAGTTTGGAAGAGCCCGGGGTAGCCATGCCCAGAAATTTTGTCTGTTCAGACATTTCAGCAATATCTGGAAGCATTTAGTCTTCACGCGCCATGAAGCATGTACAGTCGTACTATACACAGTTTGCAGATGCCTGTTTTTCGTTAAGTTTTGAGCGCCGTCACAGAAATGTAGCTCTTCGAAGGATACAGTGCGGTTAGGCTGCACCGACGTAGATCAAGTACAAGATCAACGTTTATCGGCTTCAGGCTGGCTCAGTAGGAGTCCGACTCTATGAACTTACTTTGTTTGACAGAGGCAAGAACTCTTCAGACATTTGTACAAATCTAATATTTTAAATAGTGGTGATTTATGCATTTGTGTGATAATCTTCGTTGGACTTGTTTGAATCTCCGTGCAATACATCCTGCCTTCGCCTGTCCTGTCCCTAGCTATCCCTACACCCAATAATGAACAGCAATTCTTTGTAGCATACATCGGTACGTATGTAGAACAGGAGACTATTGAAATTGGAAACAATAATGAAGTTATGTAATCTTCACATTTCGGTAAAACAGCATGTAATCAGGTCTGAATCACCAATAACATGACGAGGTTCGATATACGCTGGGAGAAATTTTGTCACTTCTGCATGGAATCCACACTCCAATCGAGGACAGAGATTACCCACACTCACTTCTCAGTCTCGGAACAGTCTTCCAAGCCCAAGCTGCATGCGTGTGTGCAATCCCGTACCCAAGGTTGGGATTTGTCCCTGACTGCATCCAATACAAACAGAAAACTTTCTGTTCTCACGGAAACTGCTGCTTGAGTGAGAACCTTCCCTCCACGTAACTGAGTACCGTCGCACACAGAGACCAACATTGTGTGCCATCAAAGAACATTTGTTATGGAGATTTACTCCAGATGCTAGCTGAATGAATCATTCGCAAGACCATGAACGAGGTAAATTTCCTCAGCCAGGACCTAAAAAAACCTCCGACTGTTCGGTGCGATGAAGAGGACAGACGCTGAGCAGGAAGGTGAATCAACGTGTGCGAAACCAATCCTTGCTTTGAGTTTCTGTGGAGTCCATCGTTCCACAACTACAAATACATACCCAAGGAAAGAGCCGGATTCAGTTGAACAAAATCCTTGATAAGCTGCAAGAATATTCCTCAAGATTGGACGTGCATGGCTCACTGAGAGGGTCACCAACTCAGATGGCGACACAAAAGCATTTGCCTCTGAATTTGGTCATAAAGAAGAAACATCAATGTATGATCAATGTATGAACATGGCTTCACGCCACAAAGCTAAGGAATTGAACTGTATGATTCTCTGAGAGAGAAAGAGGGCCCAAAATGCAAAGCCGGTCATTCTTCAGAAGCGAGCACCTCTAGTGTTGTTCTCATTAGCTTTGTTGGTGAGGTGCAGATTCAACAAAACGCGAAGTAAGCAGTTGTGGACATCCACAACGGAAAACAGAAACTTATTTGAGGGAATAAAAATTGGTAAAAACATGCACACTTATGGCTGAGAAATGACAAACTCTCAACCCAATTGGTTCAGCTCATGACTTTGGCTTAAATGAATTCAAGAAAATTATGAATTGGAATTCGTATGCAGTTTCAAATTTTCAAAACACTTTCACGTTTTTGCTATGACATTTGGAATTTCAGGAAAATAATAAGTTCAAAAAGAAGTGAGTAGATTTCAAACAGACTTGGTGTAATAATCAATCTGTTTTGGAAAATTATGTTAATGTTTAATTTCTCTGCAATCGTTTCTAGTGTTCAAGTAGTTTCTTTTGATTTTAGAAATGAAATCACTTTTGCAGCAAACCAGTATGGTGGCCTTGTCATTCTTATTTCGGAATAACATGAAAAATGGTTAGTTGTTACTTGAATCAATTGAAAGCTCTACAGAATATTTTGAAATTTGTGTCTGCATTTCATGATCAGTCTCTTGATAAATGTACATGTATCGTATTTTCAACATGAACATCTTATTGTCAATTTTGAATGGCCTTACTTTTAGACATAGAAATAAATCAGTACACTAATATGATACACGTATTTGAAGAGTTATTATTTTGAAGTATAAAATAATATGTTTAACACACCTTGGTAAAAATTTGCTAGTATTATTCAATTTTAAAAAATGAGTGAGCATATCAAAAAAAATTGTTAAGAAATATTTATTCCCAAAAGATGTCATTTAAAAAAATTAATTTACATAATTTATGTAATTTACAAAAAATCTCTCACAAAGTCAAAATTTGACTTATCCATCAAATGTCCAGATTTTGTTTTTTTTAATATTTGACTTTAATTCGGAAACACTATAACTTTATTCGTTTCAACACAAGTTACAAATTTTAATTGTAAATCAGTATTTAACACTACATTCACAACATGCACAAACACATTTGAAACGAAGAAATGTGTTATCAATGTATTAAACTCATTTACATGTGCACATGTTGCAGTCTATCTACATACTTAACAGCACTTGTCATTGACTAATTTCTCTTAGTTTAACATCAACCCCACAATTCAATACTCGAATTCACAGTGGCGCAACCAAAAACATTCTTCTCACAATTTCCAAAGACAAATCACACCGAAATCCACAATTATTGTTTACTCAATCTTAGCTGGGATACTCATGGACCACAATACTCTTTTTTTTCGTTTTCTTACTAGATTATTATTGCTTGAGACGGTGGGATACTATTTGGGACATGCAACAACAATCCAACAGCATGTTCCCTTGTACACACAACGCCGAAGGTGGGTTTCATTATCAGAAAAGATTCGCCGGGCAATCTTCCTCTTCTTCTACTTTTTCTTCATATTATTATTGTTATTCTGATAAGTGTCCTTGCAGGGGCGGAGCTTTCGTTGCGGTGTTGGTTTGTCATGGTGGATCTCGACACGAGGTCAGGATTTCGATTGCATGGATATCTGTTGGTGGATGCCGAACCAGCCACAAGCCAAGCATCGCGGGGATTTGGCCGCGGATGAGAAAGACGGGGCTTGGAATGGACTGAAAAGGACACAATTATCTCAGAGCAGGGGCGCAGGGGGGGAGGGCAAACTTGTCTGTAAAATTCTGGTGCCGGAGGAGAATGCAAGACCACCCAACAATCGGTCGAGCGCCATCCTGGTGAGACGTCTTCGTCGTCCTCAACTCAATGAGTCGCTGAAAGCGGTGCGTTTGTTGCATGGATCTCAAGTTATGGGAGGGCCCAGAGCTTGTCAGCTTCAATCTAAAGATGCCACTAGCGTCATCGCAGTGACGGCGACATGGCCAGCGTTGGGTTCCTCGAGATAGGGGCGGATCTCCCTCGTCGCAGGGAGATCCACGTACAAGGGATAATAGAATCGAATCGTCGATCCTGGAATACCCCCCCTCCCCACTATCGACGGAATTGCTTGGCACTGATATATCGTCAGGGTGGTGAGCCAGAAAATGATCACGTACTAGGCGATCGACGCAAATTATTGCGATTCACGACATGCCTCAGATTGCGTAATGGAGCAGCAGCTATATCGAGGCTTGCGCTTGCCATGGCTTTCAGGATGCCCAATGAGGCATGCGACGCGTTTGCGGCATGCGAAGATACCAGAACCTAGCTATGTGTTGTAAATGTTCAGGGAGAGAATGTGTTGACACTGCAGTAGTTGGCCTTGCAGTGGAGAAATGTGTTGACACTGCAGTAGTTGCAATGGCAGCGGCTCCGATTTCTTGTGATGGTATGACGTAGCCGCTGGCGCATGTTATATACGATGTCAACATCCTCATGCATCGGCGACGGTTTGCTAGCAAATCGGTCCAGCCCCCGATACCATCATGAAGTTTGGAGTAGAACTGCCTCGGAAGCAGGGGGAGCGTGATGAACTTCCACATGTGCTGTTTCTCACTATAAAGAAACAAGAGACGACGATTGGAAGAACAAGCAAAAGCCGATTGTTTTTCGTGTCACATATTTGCTCTACAGCTGGAAGTCATCAAATTCTCGTCACGTCCTGAGTTCTCTCATTGTACTTCCAGGCTTGTAGGTGCACAATTGACCATGTACCCCAGAAAGGATTCTTGGAAGTCTGGGGATCTGCCAGTTTGTCCTTCTGTGCAGCTGGGAAGCATCGCTGGAGAGAGCCTTCGGAACAGGAGCATTTCTAGCAAAGTCAATTCTAAGGAGGCTCCTCAGACGGTGTTGATTATCGGCGCTGGTCCCGCTGGCCTTGCCACGGCTGCCTGCTTACGGTCCAAGTACTGGATCCCCTCTATCATTCTGGAGCGGGCGAATTGCAGCGCGCCGCTTTGGAGATACATGACATACGACAGGCTGAGAATGCATCTTCCGAAACAGTTCTGCCAGCTTCCGCTACGCCCATTCCCAGCAGTATATCCGAAATACCCGACGAAGAACCAGTTCATCGCTTATCTCGAGGACTATCAGCGGCACTTTGGAATCAGTCCAGTGTACAATGCAACGGTGACATCCGCGGAATTCTCTACAGCTTTGGGATTATGGGTGGTCATAGCGGAGCAGAAGTTGGAAGACAACTGCGAAACTGTGACGTATACGACTCGATCGCTGGTTGTGGCGACTGGCGAAAACGCGGAACCTTACATGCCTGATCTGTTCGGATCGCACAAGTTCCATGGCGTAATCAGCCATGGATCGACCTATCGCAATGGTGTTAAGTACAAAGACATGAAGGTCCTGGTAGTTGGAGCAGGAAATACAGGGATGGAGATTTCGCTCGATTTGGCGAAGTTCGGAGCCAAGCCGACTCTCGTAGCTCGCAGTAAGGTATGTTACAAGTTTTGAATGAATTTTCTTTTAATCATAAAATTAGTCATTGACTTTGTATCTTATTGTCTCATTGTCCTAGTACTTCATGATTTGCGTTCCATAGTCTTGGCGAGTGGTTGAGTTAGTTTAATTGAGCAGATTTAGTAGCAACAATTCCAAATGATAATTTAAGGAAAACCTGTATTGCAGTTTCATGTGATGCCTCGAGACCTGTTTGGGCTTAACATTTCGGCCTTTCAAGTAATGTTGATGCTTTTGAAAGTGTTGCCGGTCTCGTTTGTGGACAAACTCCTCGTCATCTTCTCCAGGCTTACGCTTGGTGACACCGACCATTTGAACCTTGTTAGGCCCAAAGAAGGCCCACTGAAAATGAAGGCCAGAACAGGACACACACCGGTCCTGGACGTGGGCACAGTGGCCGAAGTAAGGAACGGCTTCATCAAGGTAATGTTGGAATCCTGTCATGTTCTAATTGATGGTTTCAACAAAACTTTACAGTCATGACCTCCTGAAGTAGTGACCGGTGACGTTGCATTTTGACCAGACATCTTATTCGGTTGAATACTCCAGGTTGCTCCAGCAATTGATCAGCTGACGAAAAGTGGAGCTAGGTTCGTCAATGGCGTCGAAGAGGAGTTCGACGCCGTGATCATGGCTACGGGCTACACAAGTAACGTCTACGAGTGGCTCAAGGTGCGAACCAACGGAGATCTTCTTCTATCCTGTGCCAACCTATTTCGATTCATTTCGCGTCGTTTGGATCAACTGTAGGACAAAATGTATGCAGTTACAAGTCACAGTGGTAATCGGCACCCACAGACCGATTCTGAGTGTTGTAGACGATATTGCTAGTATTTGATGGATTTCAGGATGTGGAACTAATGAGAACTATTTTTTATTGTCAGATTGACGGCATGTCTGGAATAAACGGGTTTCCAAAGAGACCATTTCGCAACGGATGGAAGGGCGGGCGAGGCTTGTATGCGGTCGGTTTCGGTAGGAAAGGTCTGATGGGATGCGCTCATGACGCAGAACTCGTAGCGGACGACATTGGGGCTCACCACAGAGATAATGAAAAGACCTATTGAAAGATTTTTACGAGTCTTTTTTGTTGGAAAAAAAAAAGAAAAAAAAGAAAAAAAGAAAAACTGTGAAAAAGGAGTGACTCGTAGAAAGCAAATGAGTGTTAGCAAAGATATAAGAAAATTGACTGTTTCCGCTTGCAAAGTTTAATAAAGTTTGTGTATGTTTGCTTATTGGGGCGAAGACGACCAATCAGTAACCACATTGCATTTCTCGCCCTTGACAGCAATAACACGAACTAATGAAAACTGAATGAAGTAAGTGGAAATGTACTCTTCCAAAGCAGTTTACAAAATTTGGAAATTTGTCATTACAAGCAACGAAGTGTATATGCTAGTTAAGGATAATCTCTCATACCATGTGTTTCAAGGTACCACTGGTATAGTGAGACATGTTGAGACTTATTCTTGTCTGTACACCTCACTTTGCCACTAGACTAGTGGAAGCAATATTTGATTTACCAAATTCGGCCATGATCAGCTACCGAATGGATGTATTCTCTTCTATTACCTAATTTAATGAAGTGGACTTGGCAAAAGTTTATAATCATGCGTTTTCCTGGACATTCTGACCATGGTGTTTGATCAGGGCCGAATTTTTCGAAGCATAGAAATGATTGTTTACTAGTACAGTGCAATGATTTCTCAAATGTTTCAACAGCGCCTTCTGTTCAACGATTGTTACTTGATGAGACAAACTGTACAGCCATTGAAGGTGTTGAAATAGACTCTTAATTTAATCACTGCTCTATCCAAAAACGCCAACTCATGTAATTGTCACAAAACAAAGCATTGCTTAAACGAGGTTTAAATAGCTTCAGCACTGCAGTGAATGTTTGACACAAGCTATTACATTATTTGAATCCATTTCAAGATCCCCAAGCATAGTTAATCTCGAGCAACGATATGCACTTCCGCAACTGCCCTCGTCGAAGTTAAGACATCTCTTTTGACGATACTGGTGATCTCACCATCAAAAATTGAAATTACCGCATACCAAACTGAGTTTAATCAGTTCCATGTACAGTTTTGGTGACCAACAAGTCCTGGAAACTACAATTTTGCAACGATCAATAATTGAATGCTTGGCACAAGGTTTACTCCACAGCCAACGCTTCTCAAGTTCCACCTCAAGCATTTCGTTAATCGTTAGCTTGACTTCAAATCGTCACCCTCGACGACAGACGATAGGGAGAAAGAGAGCTTATGGTCCTTCCAGATACCATCCTCTAGATATTTCTCATAAAAAGTTGTCTGGCCAGTTTTGTGGACTGCTATGACTGTCATGCTTCGGGTTCCGTAAGGTGGATTATCCCAGTATACAAAAATCGGGCTAAATGCATGCTCATGCGCTTCTGACAAGCCTGTCTTTGGTAGACGTGAAATCTCAGCTCGTGTACTGTCCGTAAGTAATTCATCTATTAAACAATTTTCTGGAATCACTTGGTCAGGATATTGAGATAACAGAACCTCAATCTTTTCCTTTCCACGAAGAACTTTTGGCCACGGAGTGTCCAGGTTAGCATTCGACAGGCTATGCAGACCCGGGGAAACCTGATCACACATTAAAATCCATCAGCAAGGCTAGTCTTATAATATGTACAGGTTCAGAGGACTATTCATAGAAATACCATCTCGATTCATTAAATCAGCATTTACACTAATTTTTCAACCTTGTTACTATGCCGACTTATAACATTCAGGTTCGGAAACAAAAATTGTATCCTGGCAGCACTCAAAAGGATAACAACTACTTGTATGTGGTCAAATTTCCGAGTCCCGCATGCTAAGCTTTGGACTCCTAAACCCCAAACAAATGCGTCACTGTCATTATGTGGGAGGCAAGATTATGCATAATTCGGCGAGAGAAATTTCAATTCCATAGAACAAAAAAACATAACTGGAAAATGTTATACTGCATGTATGACAAGGTATGATCATTTCAAGATTCAGACCTGCTTTACTTCAACGGGCTCCCCGCGGGGCCGATTGGACAGATACGCCATCTCTTTGGTGTTCATATCTGCAACGATTAGGTTGAATCCATTGTACTTATCGGCTCGAGCAGCGACCTCCTCCAGGTACGCAGTGGGAGATTTTGAGCTTTTCAAAAACAGGGTTGGAAGCTCTCCTCTGCTCACTGCCCCCGGTGTGTCCTTACCAGGCTCACGAAAATTGGTCACAAACGCGAGACGCCCAGACTCAGAGATCGCCAACCATGTGCCACCTGCCTCTCCATCCCGACCACCAATAATCTGCGGCTGCAATCGAATTCAAAACAAAAATTGTCGTCTCTCCACGGACATCTTCCCAAGGCAGAGCAAGGCTAAGCGAATCGCACCAAGTACGAAGGAAAGAAATGAAAAGAAAAGTCAAAATACAACCAAGATGGTTTCCTCGCTTGTTACATTGACTACGCAGTACAAGGTGGAGTAAGTAACAAATAAACGAATGAATTGCGACTTATTTTTACACGAAATCGACATACGTGATCACTCCAACGATGGGCAGGGAGCGTGGGGCGGGAGTGATACTCGTCCCGGTTGAGCGCCAACAGGAGCCTGTACTCTGCATGAGCTTCCAGCAGCCAGAACGCTATACACATCTTCGAATTACCCGAGAAACAAGAGTGAGTAGAACAACGAGAGCAGACGCGTGCGAATCGAAGCAAAGTGGAAATAAGAATGTGGAAACAGGAAGAAGCAAGCCAGAGGCCCTGCACGGTCTCCGCTGAGACACAGCCCCCAAGGCGAATTTGGATATGGCGCGTCTTTCAACACGATGTAGCTCGCACTCCTAGAGAAAATTCCTGCGATACTCTTGCCACTCCGACACAAGTCTGTGATATGCTTGACAAAGCTTTGCTTTGCAAGGGTAAGCTGTGCGCAGCCCCTCGATGACCCACCGGCGGACTTGCCGAGAGAGGTAAAACCTTGGTTCCAAAGGTCTCACAACACAGACAGACTCACCGCAAAACACCACCACTGCTACGACAACAACAACCGTGCAAACAATCACCACCAAAAATATAACCTTTATCCAATTCCAACTTTGATTTGATGAACCCTATTTATTACTAGTGGAAACGTGTGCCGTTTGCCAATAAAAAAAACATTGTAAACTACTTGTTGTAAATTAATCTTTTGTTTGAAGTTTAATATGGAGTTTCTGTTACGTTCCATGTCGTCCAGCGTTGTGGTACTTCCAAGCTCCATGCTTAGTGACCTTTCAATGCTACCCTTGGCAATTAAGAGTTGAATTATTGCTTCACTTTTGATGAAAAAAATGAGATATGCAGCAAATCAAAGATAGTTTTTATCTTTTGTTGGTTTATCCCAAGTTGTTTTATATAAGAGATTGGAAAAAAAATCCATTTTGAACTTGTAAGCCAAAATTAAAGCAAATTTTAAAATAAAATAAAATTGGGTGGCCTTGTTAGTTACTTTGTAATTACATGTGGCTAATGTAGTGTATCATATTCAAATTATATTATTTATTGATGTAGTTTGGTAGAAACGTTTTTAAATAAAATAATTTCAATTATGGTAAAATAATTCATGTTATTGCATTTTATTGATTTGAGATTAATTTAAATTTAAGGTATTAAATATTTGTACATTTGTCATGGTACTAATGAGAATATATCAAGTAATTTTATTAATGAAATATAAGAATTAAAATAGATGTCTATTTTTACAAAATTTGAATGAAAAAATTACTCAAACAACTCAATTGCCACATTAGAATTCAACATAAAAAAATCAAATGTTTTACATTCAAATCTATATGAATATATTTTCCTTTTATTTCAAAAATTATCTCCACAAAATATATTAAAATATCTATAGTATGTAATATGTTAAAATATTTTGAAATGCTTTTAAATACCATGTCCTATCCACATCATTGACTATCTTGTCCACTTTCTTATCCATGTCACATATTCATGATGTGAGATTTTACTTGTAAGTATTATGATATCCATTTATTAGAAGAGAAAAATAAATAAAGTAATGTAAATTGATTGAACTAATCTGATTGAGTAATCATATACCAACAAGTAAAAAATAAGTTATAAAATTCTTCCATAAATAATACTATGTACAAAAAAAGAAGATAAAAATTAATGTCTTTTGGTATTGCTTAGTGGAAGATCATAGAAGGCTCAGGCTGCAAGCACACCTCAAGTTGTTATATGCACATTCATTATGTTTATATACATCCAAGACTTTTGATTGGCTCATCTAGATGCCTTTTCCTTTGCGTTGGTGCATGTCCCAATCTTCCTCTTCTTCTTCCTTGCTCCAGTGCAAGTCCCAATTTGCTCCTCCCTCTCTTCCTATGCTAAGGCAAAAAATCTCTATCTAATCAATCACAATGAAGATCATTACTTAAGAGGTAAGTAAGTGTCAAGGACAAGAACATGATAAAAACAAATAAACAAGTGAAACTTCTCTCAAAGAAAGATGACAAAATAGAAATAATTTAATATGTATATTAAGAAAGAAACTGGAATGGCTATTGCCAAAAGCCAAGAAAACTAGAGACTCTTGAAACTAGATTGGAAGCAAGAAAAGAATTGACAAGAGTGAAGAAAGTTTCTTTCTTGTCTCTATATATACTATCTAACTAGGGACTATGTGGCAATGTTCTACAGGACCTCCAATATTAATTGACTTTGTAGGACACATTTCTTGACTTACAAGGCAAGTTTTTCTATGTGTGGGCCACATAATTAGCTTAGTCTTCAAGCTAACAACATGTGTGGCACATGGCCAACTTCTCGACCACGTTTCTAATCCAAAAAGTCAATTAAAGACACCTATAAAGTCATAGAAGCATCTATGAAGCTTTTAGGAATTTTTCATAATAAATATTATAGAATTAACTTACTTTTACATACTTTTACTTACTTCTAGCTATTTATACTTGTAATTTTTGGCTTACATGCATATATTCATGACATTACCCCCCCTTCTAGGGACGAGTTCTATGAGGAGCAGTCATCATATGTTGAGGAAATTTATGATGTGGCAAATTGTATTCGCCACATACTTTGTTCTTTGTTCTCTTTGAAGATGATTGATAGGGCCTCTCAACCATCGATAGTATCCCATACCAGGGTGGGAAGACCATCCAATTATTTAATCGTGGATAAGGCCTTCATAACTTCCTTTAAATAAAATATTTAGAACACCGTCAGGAATTGTTCCTACCTCTAGTAAAATCACCAAACATCGGGAGTCCCTTCCAAGGTCGTGATACCAAATGTGTTGTATCTTGTCATCTATTTGAAGAAGAATATGTCATTCTTGAAGATCTTCATCTCAATTGCGTTGTCTTGAAGGTTGTGACAATCGTAATGTCTTGTCCGGCATGTCAACAAATAAAGGCTCTTGAGTCGAATTTGTTGGTTATTGATTCTCCATCTCCTCAACGTCACAACTACAAAGAAGCTATAAACAAGGATTGAAAGTAGAATGTTATCTTCTTTAGATCTTGTTCTTTTTACAAAAAAGGTTTTCATCTAGATTTTCATAGGTGTCGTCAATGAAAAGCCTCCACCGCCTTTGCTGCATTTGCAAGATTCTTTACTAGCTCCCGTGTGCATTCATTAATATCATATCCGCACCAATCGACAAGATATTCCAATTTGTTTCAATGTCGCCTTGAATCTAAAACTTCTTCCACTTCAAACTCTTTATTATTGTCCACTTCTATAGGAAGAGGTGGAACTTGTCTTCTTCTTGGTATGTCCACTATCTTGTATGGTTCAAGAAGAGACATGTGGAATACTAGATGGATTTTCATTGACTCCAATAGATTTAAACGATATGCAATTGGATTGATTTGTGCAAAAATAGAAAATGGTTCAAGCCTTTGATAATCCAACTTATCACAAGGACAAGTGGTCTTGATATTACAACAAAGTAACCATATCTTATTATCCATGTGGAATGGCGGTTGTTCCTTTCGATAGACATCCGCATTGATCTTTTGTTGTTATTGAGCTTCTTTTAACTACGCGTTCATTGTTGCATGTGGCTCGGACAAATGAATTGCCAAATCTTTCACAATAAGATTATCAACATTTGAAAAGTCAAAAGTATCAAGTTGTGGATGATAACCATAATTGCCAAAGAAAAGTATTTGTTTTGTAAAAGAATGTAATGTGTTATTGTAAGCAAAATCTGCCAATGGCAAAAGAGTTGTCCAATCATCTTGTTGGTAGTTGATGGTACATCTTAAATACTGCACCAAAACTTGATTAACACGCTCCGTTTGTCCATCAATTTGAAGATGGAATGCCAAAGATAGTTTTATATCCACTTTTAGAATCTTAAAAAGAGTTTGCCAAAATCTTGATACAAATTAAGTTCCTCTATCTGATATAATATCTTTAGGTAATCCATGATAGCGATAGATATTATGAAGAAAGACGTTAGTTGATTCTTTACCTATGATGGATTTTGTACATGGGACAAAATGTGCCATCTAAGTAAAATGATCTACTATCACAAATATAGAGTCATAAGAACTTGAGATTGGAAGATCCATGATGAAATCCATAGAAACAAAAGACCATGGTTGTTTTGGAATGGATAATGGCTGAAGAAGTCTATAAGGTCGATAACAAGGAGTTCTTGATCTTGAGCAAACATCATAAGATTGTACAAAATCTTTTACTGCTTTCTACATTTAAGGCCACCAAAAGTCCTTGGATATTAGTTCCAAAGTTTTATTGTACCCAAAATGTCCTGCTACTGAAAAATCATGATGAACTTGAAGAACATATAATCAAGCTTCACCTTTTGGAACATATAGGCATCCCTCAAAATATAGTAGATTGTTCTTGAATTCAAACTTGGAAGTATCATGAGACTTTGAAAGATTTTCCTTAATATCACGAATAAGTGGATCAGGAGACATACTTGATTGAACTTGCTTAATAAAAGTTGAATCAATAGTTGTGTTGATTTCATTGCTCGAAGATGAAGATACTCTAGCTTCAAGAGAATTGTCTATTGTTGATCAAAAGCAACATCTCCTTCTTTTGGTACAAGATAAGATCGTTTAGAGAGTACATCTGATAAACATTATTATTTTCTTAGTCGATAAGTGATCTTAAATTCGAATCTTGACAAAGACATACTCCAACGGGCTTGGCAACAATTCAAAATATGTGTTGACATAAAATATTTAAGGTTCTTGTAATCCATATGCATTAAGACTACGCTAGAAGCACCTTCTAGATAATGACGCCATTCTTGAAACAAATCCACGATTGCAAGGAGTTTTTTGTTGTGGATCTCGTAGTTGATCTAGGATACTGAAATGTTTTTGGAATGAAAAGATATTGGATGAAGTTTATCATCTATTCCCATTTCTGATAATATAGCACCCAAAGCAAAGTTTGATGCATGTGTTTCCATAAAAAATGGCTTAAAAAAATCGATGCAAAATATGATTCATGCAAAAACAAAGGCTGTGTTCAAAGCTTCAAATGCTACTTCTACTTCTTGATTCCATTGAAGTTTGTCTTTACAAGTCAAACGTGTAGGTGGAGCTGCAACTTGAGAGAAGTCTTTGATGAAGATCTAATAGTAGTTGATAAATTCCAAAAAAAATTTGACATCTCTTACCGTTTTTGAGATCTTCCAATCCATAATAGTTTGAACTTTCTTAGGATCCATCATAAGTCCATCATTTGAAATGATGTATCTTAAGAATTTGACTTGAGTAGTATGAAATACACACTTTTCTATCTTGGCATAGAGTCTTGCATCTGTTAGTTTTTGTAACTTACGACAAACATGAAGTTCATGTTCTTCTGTATTCTTAGGATAGATTAAGATGTCGTATAGGTAACACACAACAAAATCATTTAAAAACTCTCGAAAGACATCATTCATTAGGTGTTGGAATGTTATTGGTGCATTTGTAAGTCTAAAAGTCATGACGTTGTATTCAAAATATCCATACCTTGTTCAAAATGCAATCTTTCATTCATCTCCTTTTTTATTGGGTA